CTCAAAAACCTCCCCCACCTCCCACAGTCTGCTCAGTTGAGATGTTAGCTCTAAGGAGCTACCAGGCCAGGAACAGACCATGGCCTGTGTCATGAGAATAAAGCCCCTGGCCCAATTGGCTCCTATCCTGCAGTAGCTACATGGCTAAATGGGCAAATGGCCTCAGGGTGTTCATTGTGGTCCCCCTTCCCCCAGCCAGCTAAGACTCAGCCCTATCTGATGTCATTGCTGGCAGAGGAAAGGCCTGAGGCAGAGCCATGCAGCTGGTCAGGCAAGACTACTGACTTATAGAACTGATTGAGAAGACCCATCCATGTTCCTTATGCTCTGAGCCCCATGCTTCAGCACGACCCGTCTTGCCCTCTGACATAACATATAAAGTAGGAGGCTGGATGTGTGATGTTCAGTCTGGCATGGGGTACCAGTATCTTCCTCTGAAGGAATGGCCAGTCAAAGCCCCATCCTTTGTGTTCTACATGGCTCCCACCTCAGTCTGTCCCCTCCTCTAGAGCCCGCCGGGCATCAGGGGCCAAGCTCTGCCTTGTTGAATTGCAGCCCATTCTCTTCCTTATCCATGCTAGGCTAGGCAGGATGGAGGGGGTGGGAAGGACTAGCCCCATCAATGCTGTTCTTTCTCCTGCTGCCGAGAGGAAGTGCGGGCAGGAACCTGTGACTAAGTGCTGGTAATTGGTGTGGGGGCTGCAGAGCCGGCAGACAAGCCCCACGCAGCCTGGCCAATCACATAAGAGCTGTGAGTGAAGCTGTTGTTCCCTTCGCCACCTGCCGCCCCTCGCCTGTCCTTCTGCTGGTGGACCCCCTCACTGGTGGGCAGTCAGCTGGCCTTGGGGGTGTGTCCTCTCTGCTCCCTCTTCTCTCCCTTTTACCTCTCTTTCCCCTCCTCCTCTCACCAGATTTCAGCCGCCTGCACACTGTAGTGTATTCTTTCTTTCTCAGTACTCAAAGCTTTTGCTTAAACAACGCCGTGTGGAATGCTCACACCAACACCACATCGTGGCCTACTGTGAGTGCATTTCATGGAAGGGGAGCTGAATTCAGAGCTGCTTCCGAGAAGTGAAGCAAGTTAGCCAAGAAAACACAGCAGATTCTTGAGCTGGGCCTTCCATGCTGACTCACAGGCTGCAAAGCCCAGACTCTAGGTTACGTGTATTTAGGCACGTATCTGTGCGCATGCAAATATACATGTGTGTGTGTTGTTTTACCATGTGTCTGAGTGTGCATGTGTGCATTTGGGAAGGGCCCCAGTCTTTAGCTGCTTTGCTCTTGAAGCCTCTTTGCAAGACTCTCCCAGTCACACTTGGGTTGGTCTACTCTGTGGGGTTTTATCCCAACAAAAGCTCCCGGATATAGAGAGGAGCGTATTATTTGCAGGGTCTAGGTGAAACTTCTCTCTCTCTTGAACAGGTGTGTCAATTGACCTCAATTTGCAGATGGGCACCGGGGCTTGAAGGCCAGTGCAAGAGAGAGCTATACCCCTCACCACAAGGTTGAAAACTGGGGTGTTAGTTGAGTGTGTGGAGTTCGCCATGGATAGCCTCAACCCCCCATTTTACAACTAAAGACAGACTCTTAGCCACAGAGGTAGGGTAAGCAGACAGCTGTTTGGGGCACTAGGAGTTTCATTACCTTTTGGGCTGGCTGGCTATGCTGTGGGGTGGGCACACTGATGACCGGGGCTAATGTACTAAATCCTCCTAGAGCCCCTATATTGAACATAATATCCCCGAGACACAGCCCTGGGATAGGGAAAGTGAGGAAAGAGGCCAACTGACTTGCTTGGACTCTGTCTTTGAGGGCATCTATTTTAGCAATCAAGACGAGACTCAGGGGCAGTATGCTAAGACACCTCCAGAGCCAGCTAGCCTCTTCTAAGTGCCTCTCTCTCAGCCAGGGCCACACTATGACCTTGGCCAGGCCTGAGGACTAGACCTCAAAGCAATCCTTGGTGAGATTTCAGGCTGATAGGTGCCAAGAAGATCTCAGTCATCATGTGGAGGGAAGAGGGATATGCTGGTCTCTCTCTACTCATGCAATTTCTCCTTCCTCCCAAGACCATGAGTGGTCCAGGCTCCTAGCACCCAAAGGAGAGTCTGACACAAGGTCATCGTGTCCTTCGAGACTCCATCTCATTCCTCATTCCAGCCTACATTACCAAGACAATCTGCCCTTACTGGCTCAGCATCATCCTAAGTCCCTGCTTGCCTGTCCCAAAAAGGTCATGGATCCATCCTGGATCACTAACTATTGCTGTGGCCCGAGGCACGTGCCTGTGCCTTTTTGTGGTCTGGCAGCACCTCCTGATGCTACTACCACTTCCCTAACTGATCATGAGGTGCAGCAACTGTTTTGTTGGGCTTCGAACCTTATACAGATGGAATCGTGGTGCATTTGGTTCTCGTCTCACCGTCCCGGAGGGTCCAGCATCTCTAGCACTCATTCGACTGTGGGCAGGTTCCTCTCTCATGGCATCTGTGTTGCGCCTCTTTTTCTAACTCCTGAAGATGTCTTGGACATCCCTACACTCAGTTTTATCAGGCTGACCTGCTGGCCAGAAGGTGAACACAGTTCCTTCAGGAGAGGCACCTTTCTAGGGGCAGATCTCATCCCAAACACTTGCTATGCATAGTGTTTTCAACTCAGCCCTTCAAAGCATGCGGCAAACCCTGGGACCTGACTTGCATTTCTTTCTCTGGTGCTAAGATATAGTGCTTATAGTCCACACGGGCTTTTGTTGTTTTGAGACAAGGTCTCACCACATAGCATTGGGTGGCCTGGAACTCTCTACCGAAACTAAGATGACTTTGAACTCCCAGAGATCCACCTGCGTCTATTTCCCAAGTACTAAGATGAAAGGCACGCCCACCACAATGGGGTGGGGTTTTTTTTTTGGTTTTGTTTTTTTGTTTTGAGTCAGAAACTTATTTATATAGGTCATTTACTATGCAGCCAAAGATGACCTGTGACTTCTGATTCTCCTGTCTCCACCTTCTGAGCGCTGGGATTACAGATATGCACCATCATGTTGGGTTTTATGAGTGTTGAAGATCAAATTCAGGGTTTTGTGCATAAAAGGCAAACACTTCACCAACTGAGCTACATCCCCAGCTCATGCACTCTTTTTGGAAAATCACTTGTTGTCATAAGAACTCCATGTTCTAACAGTCTTCTCTGTGAACACCCCACAGCACAGGGTGAGAGAAATGCTAGTTCCGTCCTTGTCTGGGTGGAGATACATAGATATTTGCTGCTCAAACCCACAAACTTCTGTTGTTCCCGTTGTTTAAAGATTTATCTATTTATTTTTTTGTATGTGAGTGCTCTATCTGCATGGATGCCTGAAAACCAGAAGAGGGCATCAGATCCCACTATAGATGGCTGTGAGACACCATGCAGTTGCTGGGAATTGAACTCAGGACCTCTTGAAGAGTAGCCAGTGTTCTTAACTGCCGAACCATCTATTCAGCCCCCTATTGTTTGTTCGTTTGTTTGTTCCTTCCTTCCTTTCTTTTTTTTCTTTCTTTCTTTCTTTTTTTTTTTTTTTGAAACAGGGTATCACTATGTGTCTTTGTCTGGCCTGGAACTCACTATGTAGACCCGGCTTGCCTTGAACTCACAGCAGATCAATCTGTCTGGGCTTTCTGAATGCAGGGATTAAAGACGTGTGAACACCCAGAAGTTCCCCTCTGCAGGCAGTCCCTGTTCTGTATGCCTGATGCCCCACCCCCGGGTGCCTCTTATCCATGGACATTGGAGTTTAGCCATTCTGGCCTCTTAGCTGGACTGGTAAGCCTCATGCGGATCTGCATCTAAGTTTTCACCCAAGAAAACAGAAAAGCAGGGCTTGTTTCTTCCCTGCCTCTCCCAGGGCAGGCTCCATGTTGCCTCTGCATTTCATTTCCAGGGTACCCTTCTTCTCAACTCTCTTGGTGGCTCCTGGTCTGAGGTAGGCAAGCTGGGCTTGGCTTTTGACACCAAGGCTCTGAGGGGGCCCTGCCTCAGGCCTGGTACCTTCCTGCTTGTGGGCCATCTTTGGGGTTGAGCACTGGGCACAAATGCCACAATGTCTAGGATTCAGATTCTTGGCATCTGGATGCCTAGTGTTCCATACTGGGACAGGCAGAGGGGTGCCGTATCCAGTTCTGCACTCAGACCCCGACTCACTCGTGTGGTCTTATGGCTCCTGTTGGCTGAACTGATGCCTGTCGCAGGAAAAGAACACCATCATGTTGCCATGTCCTACAAGAAAACAGGGACCCTTCCCAATAGCTGTTCCAAGGCCAAGGGTCTAGAGGGGGTTGTTCTCATTGGGGTACGTGAGCAGACAGCTGGTAGAACTGGCTCTAAGGGAAAATAGGACGGAGCTCTGAATCAACCTGTACTAGAGCCAGCTACTTGGACCAGAGCACGCCTTGGCTCTAAACCAGGACTGACTCTTTGTCACATTGCCATCAGAGTATTCCACAGAGTGCAGGCAGATGGGCAGCACACTGGCACAGGGAGGACTAGAAGGGATTTTGCTGGCTCCACTTGAGCCCAGTTCTGTCCAGAGCTGCCAACCCTTCTTCCTTTCCAGAGCAGAAGCTTGCTGCTGTGAACATGTGGTTGGGATGGCAGCCATACAGGTAGGCAGCCCACATATTCTGGGAGACCCAGTGAGTGGGCAGAGACCTTTCCCATTACTTGGGTTGGTTGGTGTTTGTTCCCAATACTTACTTTGAGTTCTCTGGTTTAGATTTGGTCTCCTAGGGAACCCCATAGGCACTTCCCTGTTGTCTACATCTCTACTCTTGCTCTCTGAAAGAATGATCCTAGGCTATAAGGTCTAGGGAGGTCACGTCTGGGGGTTCAGAAGAAAACTTTAGGATGGCAGCCCAGTAAACACCAAAGCTCTAGAGAAAAAGGTGGGTCCCGAGGGTGTACATCCCCCTTCTCTCTTGAGTCCCAGGGTGAAGGGTATAAAGTACACAGATCCAGACTGGAGCTGGGGTAGTCTGCACAGCATGGACCTGAGCTTTTATTGCTAGATCAGGGGCATAGCACAGTAGGAGGAGAGGTCCGTGCAAATAGGCCAGATGGGTCAGAAGAGTCAGTCCATGGTCCAGGGGAGGCAGAGACCAGAGTCACCCATCTTGGAGTGGTAGACAGCATTGAACTTCTTGTCCAGTTCAGGAGTAAAGTGTTCCTTCCAGTCCCCCACAACACCTGGCGGAGTAAGGGCAGATGGCATGAGTCAGACAGGGAGAGAAGACATCAAGAATACACCACAAGCCAACCGCTGAGAGTCTGACCACTGTTTCTCCATCCCTTACACTTAGGACTATGTCCTGTAGGGGGCGTGTGCACCTCCCACCTGACACCTGGGAACATGACTTGATTTGGAAGTGGGTTAAGAGCGGATAAGAGTGGCCTAACCTAGTGACAGGTGTCATCATCAAGTGTGGGAGTAGAGTCGCAAGTGACATAACCAGAAACTGGGAGCATTGGAGCCATAGGAGTAAAAGAGGCAGGACGGGGCCTCCGGAGGGAGCATGGCCCAAGAACGCCTTGTTCTGGTCTCCAGGGCTGTGTGAGAACTCCTAGTCTGTAAGCTTTGGGTGGCAGCCAAGGGATGTTGATGTGGGATTCCCCTATGTATGCTGTGAATACCATTGGTGAATAAAGAAACTGCCTTGGCCTGTTGATAGGGCAGAACTTAGGAAGGCAGGGAAAACTAAACTGAATGCTGGGAAAAAGGAGGAGTGAAGGAGAAACCATGGAGCCACCGGAGACAGACACGCCAAAACTCTGCTGGTAGGCCATGACCTTGTGGTGATGCACAATTTACTGGAGATGGGTTAAATAAAGATGTAAGAGTCAGCCAATAAGAAGCTAGAGCTAATGGGCTAAGCAGCGATTTAAATAATATGGTTTCTGTGTGATTATTTTGGGTCTCAGCTGCTGAGCAGTTGGCCACCTTATAACAGGGTGTGGTCATGAGCACTCACAGCTGCCCCATCCTGAAGTCACATTTAGTTGGGAGCTGGAGGCCAGTGCCTGGGTTCATGTGCACCTTTAAGATCTGCCCTAAGGATTTGTCTTGTTGGAGACTGTGAGGACAGCTCTAATTCTTCTAACTGTTAAGAAAGGCAAGAGGTCGGAGGCCGGAGAGATGACTCAATTGTTAAGAACACTAATTGCTCTTCTGAAGGACCCAGGTTCAATTCCTAGCACCCACATATCAGCTCATAACTGCCTCTAATGCCAGCTCCAGATAATCAGACACCCTCACAGAGATGTACATGCAGGCAGAATACAAAAAAAATAAAATAAAATAAATAAATAAATTTTTAAAAAGGCAAGAGTTTCTGGTGCACCCAGGGGTTTTATCAGGAACAATAGCAAGGTATACTTTTAGTTGCCATGGGGACCCCACAGACACCTCCTTCTTTCTACAGCCAAGCATCCCACAGATACTCAGGCAGATAAAGACATTTTCCAGAACCCACTCTTCAGAACTGGTTGGGTGGGGCTTGACTCAGGCAATGCTAGAACTCGTTGCCCATGATAATAGTGAAGGTCAGTTTCTTTTGGACGAGTTCTCAGAGATGGAGTTGAGGCACTTTCTGAGAGGTTTCCAGAAAGTTGGGTGGCTCTGGGAGGAGAGGTCTGAGACAGAACTGTAGCCTGAGGCCAAAAAGAGACACCTGTGAAGGTGCCCCAGAGGAGAATGGCAGGGGGCGGGACTGTCCTCAGCATCACTAATGCTGCGGAGACACGAGGAAGGCCATGGAAAGCAAGTTGACAGGGTAGACTTGGGGGCTGTCATCAGGTACAAAAAGACAGGAGGACAGGCACAATGGTGCACACCTTTAATCCCTGCACTCAGGAGGCAGACGCATAAGGATCTCTGTGAGCTCGAGGCCAGCCTGGTCTACAGGTCAGCCAAGACAACATAGGGACCTCGTCTTAAAAAACAAAACAAACGAACAAAAGATGAGTGTTGACTGGTCCCAGAATGGAGCCTGGGAAAGAGGCCTACCTTTCCTCAGGAACTTGCCCTTGCTATGGTCCATGATCTCCTTGGACAAAAGGCTGTAGTTGACCATGTTGCTCTGACTCATGAAGGAGAAGCTGCAGTGCTCCAGTATGACATCTTCCTCTTCTGGCTGCAGGCAGCGCCCCAGGAATTCACTTATCTTCCGGATGGTACGGCGGGGTTCCTGGACCCAGAAAGAGAGTCAACCCAGAGGAATGGACACATAGTTACGACATTAAAATAATACAAGTAGGGACTAGAGAAAGTAGGTTAAGAATGAGTACATACTGCTCTTGCAAAGGTCCCAAATTCAGTCTCCAGCACCCACACCAAGCAATTCGCAGCTGCCTGTAACTGTCACGCCAAGGGGTCCAATGCACAAGTATCCACATAGATACACATAGAAGCACATATTTAAAAATAAAAGTTATAAACCGGGCTTAGTGGCTCGTGCCTTTAATCCCAGCACTCAGCAGGCAGAGTCAGGTGGATCTCTGTGAGTTCGCGCCAGACTGGTCTATAGAATGAGTTAGTTCCAGGACACCCAGAGCTACATAGAGAGACCCTGTCTCAATACCCCCCAGGTATATATTAAAAATTTGTACAAGTAATTAGAAATGTGAACAACCATATTCAATTCAGTATTATCTGTTAAAGGAAGTAGCTCAGAACAGCATAAAATCCAACCAAGAAGGGGATTTATTTTAGCTATGTCTATATCATGGAATATTTTATTGCCATTAAGAATGCAAGGGGGGCTGGAGAGGTGTTTCAGCACTTCAGAGAACTTGTTTTTGCAGAGAAACTAGGCTCAATTCCCCGTACACCCACAGCAATTCACAGCTGTCTGTAACTCCAGTTCTAGGAGATCTGACATCTTCTTCTGACCTCTGAGGGCACTAGGATTGTGTGTGGTGCACAGACATACATGTGGGTAAAACATTTAGACACATAAAAAATAAGGTTAATAAATCTGAAGAAAATAAAAAAAAGACACATAAAAAATAAGGTTAATAAATCTGAAGAAAATTTAAAAAAGGACTACATTGGGATCTGGCTGTGGTGGTGTATGTTGTCTTTAATCCCTCCATGGGGAAGGGAAAGATAAGTAGGTCTCTGTGAGTTCAAGGCTAGCCTGGTCTACACAGCAAGTTCTAGGTCAGCAAGAACTACACAGAGAAACCCTGCCTCAAAAAACTAACTAACGCTTCGTCCTCGGCGCTGTCTGCGAGGTAGCTGCCATCTCCTCTGTGGCATCATGGCTGCCCTGCGGCCTCTGGTGAAGCCCAAGATCGTCAAAAAGAGGACCAAGAAGTTCATCCAGCACCAGGCAGATGGATATGTCAAAATTAAGTGAAACTGGTGGAAACCCAGAGGTATTGACGACAGGGTGCGGAGAAGATTCAAGGGCCAGATCCTGATGCCCAGCATTGGTTACAGGAGCAACAAGAAAACCAAGCAGATGCTGCCTAGCGGCTTCCGGAAGTTTCTGGTCCACAGCGTCAAGGAGCTGGAGGAGCTGCTGATGTGCACAAATCTTACTGTGCTGTGACTGCTCACAACGTTTCCTCCAAGAACCGAAAAGCCATCGTAGAAAGAGCAGCACAGCTGGCCATCGGGGTCACCAATCCCAACGCCAGGCTACGCAGGGAAGAGAATGAGTAGATGGCGTGTTTTATTTGTGTTTAAATAAAACCACAAAAACTGCAAAAAAAAATCCAAAAAATAAAACAAAAGGACTGGAGAGATGGCTCAGCGGTTAAGAGCATTGCCTGCTCTTCCAAAGGTTCTGAGTTCAATTCCCAGCAACCACATGGTGGCTCACAACCATCTGTAATGAAGCCTGGTGTCCTCTTCTGGCCTGCAGACAGAATACTGTATACATAATAAACAAATAAAGAAATATTTTTAAAAAATTAAACAAAAAAACTAATGATACGTGTGTATATGAAAGCATATACATACATATACATAGACATATATGTCTACATACAAACACACATACATATGCACATGGGAATGTGTGCTTTGGTTGGCAGAGCTGGGGAGGTGGAGTTGCTAAGGCCATTCTGGAGCCCAGAGGATTGTGGGTGGGTCCCCACCATCAGATTCTTAACGTGTTATACTGTTGGATTTTGGTTTGGCTTTGATTTAATTGTGACTATGGTTTTGATTCCTCCCTCTTTGAGATGCTTTGAACTTTGAAAGTGATTTTGGATGTTTTGAAGAGACATGGATGTTTGAGCTTTTAAGGTGAATCTTTAAAGACTAGGACTTTTAAGATGGAATGTGTATGTGCCCACTGGGACTGGGCTCTCCCACTCTGCACTTTGACGGGTTGTGGTTTTCTGTGATAGTGACTAGCTACTGCAAAGAGACATTTCCTTGAAGGGGTGAGGACTACACTTATCTGTGGGGGTGAGGAGCATACATTCAAGCAGTATGACTGCAGCAAGGAAAGTGTCTCTAGGAGTGTATGGGATGCAGTAACAATGAAAGAAAAGGCCATGCATCTGAAGGAGAACAAAGGGAGGGCTTTATGGAAGTGTGATTAAGGGGGGGGAGGAAGTGAGGGAGAAATATTGTGATTATAATCTCAATAAAACTATAAAAATTTATTCTTTAAAAAATTTTAAAAAATGGCAAGATGGTGGTGGTGTCTTTAATCCCAGCACTTGGGGGCAGAAGCAGGTAGATCTCTGAGTTTGAGGCCAGCCTGGTCTACAGAGTGAGTTCCAGGACAGTCAGGGTTACACAGAGGAACTCTCTCTCTCTCTCTCTCTCTCTCTCTCTCTCTTGAAAACAAAGTTTTCAAGGCTGGCCTTAAACTCACAGAGATTCACCTGCTTCTGCCTCCACCTTCTGAGTACTGGGATTAAAGGTGTGTATCACCACAGCCCAGTAAGAAACCCTGTCTTGAAAACCAAAATAGATAGATGATAGATAGATAGATAGATAGATAGATAGATAGATAGATAGATAGATAGATAAATGGGTTGTTTTATATTGTGATTTGCTATTACTATGAGATGTTTTGGATACATAAGAAAGGAAAGGTTGCCGGGCGGTGGTGGCGCATGCCTTTAATCCCAGCACTCAGGAGGTAGAGGCAGAGGCAGGTGGATCTCTGTGAGTTCGAGGCCAGTCTGGTCTACAAGAGCTAGTTCCAGGACAGGCTCCAAAGCCAGCCACAGAGAAACCCTGTCTCGAAAAACCCCTCCTGAGTGAAAAAAAAAAAAAGAAAGAAAGAAAGGAAAGGTTATTGTTTAACAGCGTTGTTGTGTCAAGTTAACTAGGGGTCAATTGTCCTTGTGGCTTCTGTTAACTTGATGCAAACCTCGACTTGTCTGGGAAGAGGGAATGTTGAGGAAGTTCCTTCATAAGATTGACCTGCAGACTAAACAGTATTTTCTTGATTAATGACTGATGTGGGCAAGCCCAGCCCATTGTGGGACACAGAAATCAAAGCCCAAAGAGACACAACAGGGGATTCCAGGCCAAGATGTCTGGTCTCAGCCCCTGTCAGATGCTGTGGCCAAGTGTGGTCCAACCAGGTCCATACCACCAATTGCCGAGGATTAGAAGCAGGGTATAAAAATCTTGAAAACTCTAACCTCAAGTATTAATATATTTTTGTGTTTAGGGCACATTGTATTTGGCACCCAGAGATGTCACATCTTTAAAGAATTTGATCAAGAAAAGCCTTGAAGATCAAGCTTTACTTTTTGCAGCAAAACTCATTCACTTGGAAAGGCCTAAACATCTACTGATGTGAATCTATTTATGGTCGTCTTTGTTCTGCGGTGTGTGGAGGGGGGCGAATGTGTACAGTTTCTAGGACCCAACAGAGCTTGGATTCCCAAAAATCCCTAAGCACACGCAGTCTCAACAGCTGGAGCCGGAGCTGCCGGCGTCTGAAAGGTCAGCCTTGTGGATATAATTTAAAACATACTGCAAAGAAGTGGATTTCATCTTGTTATTCTGAGTTAAAAATCTTGCTGTTTACACATAATATTGGAACAGCTCAGGGAACTCAAGGTTCTCCAGCATCACGCATCAAATTTGCTGGCTGTGCCAGGGTGGGCTGAGTAATCAGGCCTGTCTGTTCCAGTAGAAAGCACAGGGGCTGCTTGCAGGAGCTTATCTGAATTTTCAAATGCAGTCAAATATGAATCAAAAATTACTCTGATGGATAAACACAAAAATAACATCAATAGATGAAAAGTATAACTTAAGGCAACGTGTGGGGACCAAAAGGGACCAATTCTTCTACCACACGGGTTTCAGGGACTGAGCCAGTCCAACAAAAGCCTTTATTCACTGAGTCATCTCTCTGGTCCTTAATTTTTTTATTCAGTCTCTCTGTCTCTCTCCCTCTCTCCCTCCCTCTCCCTCTCTCTCTCTTTTTCTCTCTCTCTGTGCGTGCACGTGTACAAAGGCTAAAGGAAAATCTCAAGTGCTTTTCCTTAGAGAAATCTGTCTTGTTTTTTGAGAAAAGGTCTATCACTGACTTTTTTGTTGTTGTTGTTGTTTTGTTTTGTTTTGTTTTTCGAGACAGGGTTTCTCTGTGGCTTTGGAGCCTGTACTGGAACTAGTTCTCTAGACCAGGCTGACCTCTGCCTCCCGAGTGCTGGGATTAATGGTGTGCACCACTACTGCCCGGCTATCACTGACTCTCAACTCACCAAACAGACCAGGCTGCCGGCCCAGTGAACCGTAGGGATCTGATTGTCTCTCTCTCTCCCAGGGTGTATCCCCAACCCTGACTTTTTGATGTGGGTTCTGGGGATCAAGCACATGTCCTCACACGCATTCCATGAGCACTTTCCTGACTTAGCTGTTTCTCCAGATCCACAATCTTAAAGTTCTAAATGTACATTACAACTTCTTGAAACTCAGGCTGGAGAGATGTCTCCGAAGTTAAGAACACTTATTGCTCTTGTAGAGGACCTGGGTTCGATTCCCAGCACCCATATGGTGCTACATGTTACATGGTGCTAGATGCTGCAACTGTCTATTAACACCAGTTCCAGGGATTCAGTGTCCTCTTCTGACCTCCTTGGGTACCAGGCACACACTTGGTACCAGACACACATGAAGATGAACACTCATACACTTAAGATAAAAATTAAAAATTGCTTGAATCTCCTACCAACCAGGCTCACAATGGCCGTTACTTTGGGGAAGCTGGAGAGTGTCTGAATCAGAAGCAGTCAGAAATTCTGAAAGCACAATATCGTTGGTAGACCTGCCTTAGGAAAACAAGCTTCACAGAATGTTCTGGAAGAGCTGAGGATGCCAGGGCTTTGACTGAGGCAGACATGGCTGTAGGTGACCTGTTGGATATGTGGAAGGGGTGCCCACCTGGTGCAGCTCCTCATAGGTGACAAAAAGCAAATTTAGGTCCTTCTGGAGGCCCAGCCACCCCTTCACGTGGTCAAACCAGGAGCCGAAGAAGCCTGACGAAGAAAGAAGCAGAGATGGTGCTGCAGTCCCAGCGGCACGTGGCTGGGACCCAGGAGGAGCAGGGTGACCTCAGAGGTGGCTGGAACAAGACGCAAAGCTGCCCGCCAGCTCTCACAGAGCCCCCTCAGTCCCCGAGACCCACCTGTGCCCTCAAGAAACTCATCCACAAAGTCTTCGAAGGAGCTGGGGTCGGGCAGGAAGCTGGCTAGTCGGTGGAAGTGGTAGAAGGAAACAAGGGTGTCCTTGGGGTTCCGTGCCATGTACACCACCTGGCGGACAGAGTCCTGGTTCTCAGTGCTCTGAGGCTCAAGACTTCCCCAGCTGCCGTGACCTGAAGTAGCTGAGCCCTGGACTCTGACTCCAGTCTAGAAGTGTGGGTGGGAAGAGTTGCACAGTGCTGACCTGGACTCCCCCAAAATGTAGTGATGAGTGGATGCCAGGCATGGCCACTGAGCTGCAGTAGGATGAATCCTGTATGGCTAGTGAATGGGTAGCCCCTAGGGGCAGCTTTTGGTCTCTTTCCTTTCCTTTCCTTTCCTTTCCTTTCCTTTCCTTTCCTTTCCTTTCCT